ATACAATATCCATAATCATTTATACACATCTGCCTCACTTTCAATATGACTTAGTGTTGTGCTGTCCTATTGGGAGAATGGTAATTTCTCCACCAAATTTTCTACTCCTATTATTAACCCCCAGAGAAGAAAACAAATTGATAGGTCTGCCTTTTTTAAAAAAAAAATTTTATCTGGTTCTTGAAGAGTAGAAGGATAAATTACTACTGCTACTATCTAATTAAGTTGTTCTTTAGCCCACATTATTCTTAAATGAGGGGAAGAATTTTAAGTGTTTAGAAGACATAAGCCTGTGACCAACTTTGTTTAGAATGTGTGGTGTGTGAGGACAACTAATTAAGATGCCTAATCATAAATGAATAATATTATAGAGGCTATTCATTTAATACAGTGAACTCAGAAAGGGGGACATATTAAATTCCCTTTAACAGTGATACACATTTGCAAATATCTCATGATGGTTATAATCATGTAGGCAATTGAAATAAAGGACTAAACAGCTAGATTAACAAAAAAGATCAAATTAGAAAATAATTTGAAAAAAATAAAAGCCAATCTCCAACCCCCCTTTTTTTCTCTTTTCTCCTTTAGGTCATAAATGGCAGATACTATTTTTCTCAATTCTAACAATTATTTTGATTCTGTGTTTTGCTTTATAATGATTTTGAAGAAGAAGGATGGGGAGAGTGGGGTAGACAGCTTAGATGGTATTTCCAACATATGGCACTTCACTATGTCCCCCCAAATCACCACCAGTATTAGCATTTTCTTCACCTTAGAATTATTTATATTGCTTTGTAAACAAAGTGTATTTCCTATTTTCTCTACATAGTTTGCTGATCAATGAAAACAAACTTAGCATATTGCTAGCAGCACATTTGAAAGCTTTTCACTGTGATAAAATTGACAGAAGTCTTTTTTATTCACAGTGGGCATTCTGCATCCCCCTCATTAGAGTGTAGGCCCCATAAGGGCAGAGGCTGTTTTACTTCTCAGCAACTTCTTGCCCAAGTAGGGGTGTAATAAATATTTCTTGAGAGGAATAGTCAAAGCAAATTATTAGCTTGGCTTGTAAGCCTCACTTTCCTCCCATTTCAGTGATAGAAATTCAGTATTGTTTATTGATCCTTTATTAACCTAGAAGATGAGTTGCATCTTTGCTGCAGATTTTTTATCCTAATGATATTTGTTTGGGATAATATTAGCATTTATTGCTTGTGAATGCACTAGATAATGGTGAAGGGAGACAGTGCTAGTCATAATGAAATGCCAGTGGGAAATTATTCTGGAATTAAATATTTGCCACTGATACCCCACAAAATGGGTAATCTGCACAGCAGTATGATCAACAGCTTACTTTACTTTTCACTCATCCATAATGCCTTTTAGCTCTGCCCTTTAACAGTGTTAATCACCAAAGAACTTTAATCGACTGTGGTTTGCTTAATTAAGCTTTATTGAATTTGCTAATCAATAAACTAGGGATGGAGTGCATGAGTTAAAGTGACTTGTCCAAGACCAGTTGCTGAATCAGTAATGGACCTGTGAATCAGCCTCACTATTTCCATGCCTGATTATCTAGTTCTAAAGCAAACTCTTGTTTGATGTATGTTTCTATTTATCTCCCAAAATATCATCACCAGTCAAAATATTTATTCAATAACACAATGTTAAAATAGCATTCCATGTAAAGTTAAGTGGTGAGTGAGACTTCATGAATAAATAGCAGCAAATATATTTACCTAGTCTTCATGATTAGTAACAAAAGCTCCCATGTCAGTGTGAAAATGTAATCTAATCCAATGAAACAAAAATTGATTTTTTTTTCTCATTCAATTTCCAGGTTAGTTAAATAGCACCTGTTCTCTTTAATTAGTTTTTGATATTTATACAACATCACCTTTAAACTCCCTAACAATACAGCTCTTTCTTTGCTCTTCAGGCTCTCATCCTTTCACCTAATTGCATTTGGTTTAGCTGACTGAAGGGAGAAATATGAAGATTTTGTAGAGGAAAAATCTCTGCTATTGTAAAAATGGGACTGATCATTTCAGACCTCAGACCAGCCTAGGAAGTCATTCTCAGGATCATCTAGCCCATGAAACTTGAAAGGACAAACTGGTTTGTTTGGCAAGGGTAAAGTATATATTAGGAGCTTGCTCACTTGGTTTCAGAAAAAGGAAAATTATAAAAGTGATGGGGAAGATTTCGGGGAACTTTTGCTCAGTTTAATAATAATAAATTACCATTATAAGGTGCCTGAAAGATTGGGAAGTGCTTTCTTTACCACAATCTTGTGAGGTAGATAGTGCTACTATTATTCTATTTCATACTTGAGGTAATTGAAGCAAAGCCAAGATAAGCAACTTCCCTAGGGCAAAAATTTAGCATATGACAGAGTCTGGAATCAAACCTAAATCTCCTGAATACTTATCCAGTATTCTTCCTATTGCAACCCATTGCTTCTATTTTAATAATTAAAAAAAGTATATTAAAACATTTTGGTATTTGATAACAAATACATTTTAGTATTTTCTTTAAAAATAATACTCATGTGATCAATAATTCTAGGCTGTTATTTTGTAATATTTTATTCTTATAATTCATACAGTTTAGAGATTCCTAGGGAAAATTTTAGATGTAACTGATTCTAACTCCTTAACTTTAGAGATCATAGAACTGAGACTTAAACACTGTAAATGACTTTTCTATGGTCATAGTCAAGTCTCAAATTCAAGTCTTTTTTGTCTAAGTCCAATATTTTTAAAGTATGTCAAACTTATAATTCATATATATATATATGTACATTCATATATATAATGTGCATATATATGCATATCCATATACACACATATATACACACATACATATGCATGCAAACTTATACGATACATATTTATCAGTGTCTGTGTATAATATCCTTTTTATAAATGTTATCCCATATGTGACATGGAATTTTTTAAATAGATGGTTTGCATGTTTTTGTGGGGGCAAAAGACAGGAAACACCACCAAGTTATTTTCCTATATAGTGCTCCTTAAACTGTGGGTCATGACCCAATATGGGGTCCCAAAAATTGGCAAAAGTAAAAGGTTTCTGAACACGCAACAACCAAAAATTAATTGAAAATCAAAAGTGTAATGTTATCCATGGTATTTCTGGTAGTGCTTGCTTGTGTTGCATTGAGCAACTTCACTGCAGCCTTGGTTCTGAACAAAAATCATGTGAACTGTACTTTGCAGTGAACATGCCCTGAGGCCATGCAATGCCAACAACACTGCTAAAATGCAAAAAGGGGTCATGAGTGGAAAAAGTTTAAGAAGCCCTGCTCTAAAATACCAAAAAAAAGTCATAAAACATAAATCAATGAAAAATAATTATTCACATCTCTTATTTGAAAGTAAAAATGAGAAACTGAGTCAGATTGAGTTATTTGATTCAATTTTTGAAGTAATTTGTTTGAAATTTTTTTCTGATAAACTGGTCTTTAAAGCATGATCATAATATAACACCGTAAATAATATTTCAGTCATTCTGTTCATGTACTTTGTCAAAAAAAAACCCCACTAGGTCATCAGTAGTGAACCTTTTCAAGTTTGAAGATACCTGTTAGAGTTTTATCATTGACACACAATTTAAAAAAAATTTTTAACATTAATGTGAGACAACTTTTGTATTGACAAGCATGTAAACATAAACACTAAAATAATGCCTAAGAATTTATTTTCATCTCTGCTTGAATCATTTTTGGATTGCATACAAACAATATTACAACTTTTCAGTTGAATTTCACCTGGATAATGTCAATCATTTCAGTTTGCTAGTCTTTGTAGCTTCTAATCACTTTTATGATTGAATATGCTGATTTATTGATTGAAAAAAGAGAATCTGGTTTGAATATTGAAACCCAAGTAGCCATCAGACTTACTGACACAACTTATTTCAATGTAATTCAATTCAAATCTAGATATGTCCATTAACTGTCTACTCCACAAGGCATTGTACTACATACTACTACTGAAAATATGAAAAATGACATAGTCTTTGCCTTCAAAATATTGATATTTTATTAGAGTGATATGAGTGGAAAGGATATATAAACAAACAGTTTTGATGTAAGAGAAACTATGATAACAGCAAAGGAAATGTCCATAGTGGCCTAGGAAATTTGAGAAGGGAGATATAAGTTTCATCTGGGTGGACCAGGGAAAGCTTTATGGTGAAGCTAACACATAATATGGCTTTTAAAAATAGAGATGGATTTTAGTAGGCAAAGATGAAAGAAGAGGGGGTTCTAGGCAGGACAAATAATCTATGTGAATTATAGCTCCATCCAAACGTTGTCATTTTCCTGAAATGATCTGTAATAGCCTGATTTCTCAGAAATTACATAGAACAATGATTTGTAAATCTGATGCTTTAACATGAAATGTTGCATATCATACCTATTAATATTTGTAGCAGAGTGGCTAGAGAATTTTCTAAGAGTCTGGAATACCTGATTTGAAACTTTAAGACAAGGATTCTTAACATGACATCTGTGAAATTTAAAACTATTAGTTACTGCTTATATATAACAAAAATAATTTTGTAACATTTTGGTATACTTTGTTTTCTTGATTGTTTCATATATTTTATGCATTTAGAAACAATTATATCCTTAGAAAGGGACTATAGGCATAATCAGACTGCCAATGGAGTCTATGACTCAAAACAATTTAAGAATCATTGTTCTAAGAGTATAATTATTGAGAATCCCCTACAATAATGAAATTATTATACACATATACATACATATGTTTGTATAAACACATATATGCATGCATGTATATACATGTATGTATGTGTATATATACATACATAAACATACACATATGTAGGTATATATAATATATATATATTATATATATATATTATATATTTATATATATATATATATAATATATATATATATATATATATATATATATATATATATATATATATATATATATGTGTGTGTTCTCCACTGAGATTTTGTTTCATGACATCTTTCCTTTGATAATTAATATCAAGTAAGGTATAATAGTGGGAAACACGTAACTAAGAAATATGTTTGGCACTGTTGTTGAGGAGATCTAGCAGAGGTGACATGCAAGAGATACTCCATATCATTGGTTATGTTCTCCAGATGTTTCTGTCTATGTCATGAAGTTAACTGTACCAAGCTACAGAATATTGCTGATAGTCCTAAATGAGATGCACAATTACTCAAAAGAGTTTGGCTTAATTATCCACATTTAAAAAAAAAACCTTAAGTTGATGAAGGAGGCCTATTGTCCAGATTATGATATAAATTTGGATGTAAAGTTCAAAGATTTGACCTATCTATATGTACTTTTTGGATGGAATATAGATGAACATGTAGAATGACTAGACCCAGAACTGAGTAAGAGGAATATAGGGGAAATGAATAGTGTTTGGTAAATTATGTAGTGCTTTTTATCCTAAGTTTCTCCCTAAAAGAAAATCATGGCATACCCACATTAATGAATCAAAATTACTGATCAATGAAAAGCAAATGAAAAGAGGCATGAATATGTTATAAAATAATACCAATATGTTACTTGCAAGAAGCTGAGAGGTGTCCATTAATTCTAGCAGCTTCTTGACTTGTCCTTCATAATCTATCTTTACTACAGTCACTTCCATGCCATATATATTTCTGTGTATACATACACTTACATGATATTGTTCAGTCATTTCAAACACGTCCAATTCTAATTCCATGAGCCAAGATGGTGGATTACAGTCACTCTCCCATATTGTCCTTTGAAAAACCAGAAAATAGCACTCCAGGAAAAATCCTTGAACAGTGGAACCAGCAGAAAGATGGGGTAGAGCAGTCTTTTATCCCAGGAAACTTGAAGAATCGCCAAGAAATGTCCATTTCACTTGAGTAAAAGGGGACCACATTCCAGGACAGAGCATCCCAGCACGCCAGCAGCAAGCCCCACATCAGCAAACCATGCAGAGATTCTGAGCCCCAGTGTGGTGGAGCAGACAAATGCCAACAACAGAACCCCACACATACCTCAGGAGAGCCAGGGGAGCCAGCAGACTGCAGCTCAAAGAACCACCACATGCTTCAGTGCAGTCCTAGGCAGGCAGGAATCCCCCAGTAACTGGATGTCTGTGTGCTTCAGTGTAGCCCCAGGGAAATGCAAAAACAAAACAAAATAAAAACAAACAAACAAAAAATTAAAACTTACCTTCTGGACACTACCACTAGGATCGCAGTTCAACACCAGGTAAGCTGCCAGACCCTTACAGCCTCAGTCTGCCAGTACCCTAAAGTCCTAGAACACAAAGCCATTGACCAGGCCACTGGTCTCCAGCACAAGAAGCTCGAAACAGTGCTCCCTGTGCTCCAGCAGGGGAACTTAACTTTAAAAGCCAAGAAATAAGCAAACAAGATGAGCAAAAAGCAAAAATGGACATTGACCGTAGAGAATTACTATGATGACAGGGAAGATCAAAACACAAACTCAGAAGAAGACAACATTGTCAATATACCTGCATCCAAAACATCAAAGAGGAATATGAATTGGTCTCAAGCTCAAAAAGCCTCTTGGAAGAGATCAAGAAAGATTTAGAAGTCAAATAAGAGAGGTGGAAGAAAAATTTAAAAAAAAAGGTATGCAAGAGAGAGTCAACAACTTTGAAAGGAAGGACAAAAATTGACTGAAGAAAACAATTCCTTGAAAAATACAATTACTGATAAATGATCAAATAATATGAATGGACAGTTTTCAGATGAAGAAATTAAAGCTATATATAGTCATATAAAATGCTTTAAATCATTATTGATTAGAGAAATGCAAATTAAAACAACTCTGAGGTACCCCATCACATCTATCAGATTGGCTAATGTGACAAAACAGAAAAATTATAAACATTTGGAGAAGATGTGGGAAAATTGGAAGACTAATGCATTGTTCATGGAGTTGTGAGCTGATCCAACCATTCTGGAGAACAATTTGGAACTATGCCCAAAGGTTATAAAACTGTGCATACACTTGGACCCAGTTAGGTCTGTATCCCAAAGAAATCATAAGAATGGGAAAAGGACGGACTCGTATAAAAATATTTATAGCAGCTCTTTTTTCTTTTTTTGGTGGTCAAGAATTGGAAATTGAGGGGATGCCCATCAATTGGGGAATGACTGAACAAGTTGTGGTACGTGAATGTAATGGAATAATATTGTTTCATAAAAAATGATGAGCAGGCAGATTTCAGAAAAAACTTGGAAAGGCTTACATGAACTGATGTTGAGTGAGGTGAGCAGAACCAGGAGAACACTGCACACAGTAACAGCAACACTCTGTGATAAATAACTTTGTTAAACTTAGCTCTTCTCAGCAATGCAATCATCTAAGACAATTCCAAAAGAATCATGATGGAGAATGCTGTCCATATTCACAGATACAACTATGGAGTCTGAATGCAGATCAAAGCATACTCTTTTCTCACTTTTTGTTTTTGAATTTTCTTTCTCTTGGCTTTCCCCTTTTGTTCTGATTCTTCTTTCATGATATGGTTAATGTGGAAATATGTTTAACATGATTGTACATGTATAGCCTATATTAGATTGCATGCTGTCTTGGGGAGGGTGGAAGGAAAGAAGGGGAAAGTTTAGAATTCAAAATCTTATGAGTGAATGTTGAAAACTAAAAATAATTAAATGTCTTATTTTTTTTTTAAATCATGTCCAATTCTTTGTGACCCCTTTTGGGGCTTTTTGGACAAAGATGCTGAAGTTGCTTGCCTTTTCCTTCTTTAGTTCATTTTGCAGATGAGGAAATTCAGGCAAACAAGCTTAAGCAACTTACCCTATATCACCCAGTTCATCAGTGTCTGAGACAAGAGTTGAATTCAGGAAGATGAGTCTTCAGGTCCAGCAATCTATCCACTATGCTACATAGTCACTGGTTTTCTTATTGGATTATTTTCATTATTTGGTTGTGTGCAAACTTCAGAGTTTCTCAGGAATAGATATGAGGATTTGCCCCTTCTTGTCTCAAGTCCCAATCCAACATCCAAGAAGTTTTAAAGAGGAAATCTAGGATTCAAGAATGGGTTCTGACTCTAACTCCATTGTTATTTCTTCAGTAGCACTGTTCTGTTATTCCTCAGTAAGATGAAGGGTTAGCCAGGATATTTGCACACTTTTGGTGAGTCTGTGTCCTATCCCACCTCCCTCCTCCATTATCTGTACTGTCTTGATGTATGTAAGGAGAGCACACTAAAAAGTGAAGCTGGAGTGACCAGGGCTGCGTATCTGAGAAGAACCTTCTCAGGGCATATTTGAGAGTCCCAGGCAATTTAACACCTTGTTGCTTAATTTATAAGACTATAAATTCCAGGCAGTGGGTTCCAGGCAGTGGCTTCAAATCAAACTACCTTTGGACTTCACATACGCCTATGTGACTATACTATGTTCCACCTCTTTAGGTGTTTACCAAATTAAAATAATAATTATACTTATGTAAATAAGTTGCCCAATTGTTTGTAAATAGTCCATCCAAAATAATGTATATAAACAATTAGCTATTGATGGACCAAGATTGGTGTGGAATGACCATGAAAATAGAGAGGAGGGACAAATGTGGGAAAACGCACTCTCCTAGGGGCACTTAGGTGGTGCAGTGGATAGAGCACCGGCCCTGAAGTCAGGAGGACCAAGTTCAAATATGGCCTCAGAGCAAACACTTGACACTTACTAGCTGTCTGACCTTGGGCAAGTCACTTAACCCCAATTGCCTAGGGAAAAAAATGCCCTCTCCAGTCTAAGTTTTATGTATTGTGTCGACATTTATTTAGCCCTGCAACTTCAACTGCTGCTGTTTGTTGTTTGTCCTTCTCGCTTTTTATTTTTGATACTAGTAATTTGGTTTTCTTCTTTCTTTTTTTAAAAATTAAATTAACCAAAGGTTTATGTATTTTATTGGTTTTTTTTTTTTCATAAAACCAGCTCTTAGCTTTATTTATTAGTTCAACAGTTTTCTTAATTTTAATTTTATTAATTTCTTCTTTGGTATTCAGTATTTCTAATTTGGTGCTTAATTGAGGATTTTTAATTTTTTCTTTTTCTGTTTTTTTAATTGTATGCCCAATTCATTGATCTCTTTTTTTTTTATTTTATTCATGTAAGCATTTAGAGATAAAACTTCACCTAAGAACTGCTTTCACTGCATCCCATAAGTTTTGGTATGTTGTCTCATTATTGTCATTCTCTTGAATGAAGTTATTGACTGTTTCTGTTGTTTGTTGTTTGACCCAATCACTTTTTAGGATTAGATTGTTTAGTTTCCAATTATTTTTAGTCTATCTTTCCATGGCCCTTTATTACATATATTTTTTATTGCATCATGATCTGAAAAAGATGCATTTAATATTTCTACCTTTCTGCATTCACTTGTGAGGTTTTTATGTCCTGGTACAAGGTCAATTTTTATGTATGTGCCATTTACCACTGTGAAAAAAGTATGTTCCTTTCTATCTCCATTTGATTTTCTCCAGAGTTCTATCATACCTAACTTTTCTAATATTCTATTCATCTTCTTAACTTCTTTCTTGTTTATTTTGTGGTTAGACTTATCTAGTGCTGAGAGGGGGAGGTTGAGGTCCCCCACTAGTATAGTTTTGCTGTCTATTTCTTCCTGTAACTCCTTGAACTTCTCCTTTAGGAATTTGGATGCTCTACCATTTGGTGCATTTATGTTTAGTAATGATATTACTTCATTGTCTATGTTACCTTTTAGCAGGATGTAGTTTCCTTCCTTATCTCTTTTGATAAGATCTATTTTTACTTTTGCTTTTTCTGAGATCAGGATTGTGACCCCTGTTTTTTCACTTCAGCTGAGGCATAATATATTCTGTTCCAGCCTTTTACCTTTACTCTGTGTGTGTCCCTCTATTTCAAATGTGTTTCTTGTAATCAACATATTGCAGGATTGTTTTTTTAATCCATTCTGCTATCCACTTCTGTTTTATGGGAGAGTTCGTTCCATTCACATTCACAGTTATGATTACTATCTATGTCTTTCTCTCCATCCTTTTCCACAGATTTATGCTTTTCTTTCTCCTTTCTCTTTTTACCTCTTCACTAGTGTTTTGCTTTTGACCACCGTCTCCCTCAGTCCAGCCTTCTTTCTATTAGCCCCCTCCCATTTCTTCCTCTTTAACCTTACTACTTCTTCCCTCCCTTCTATCCCCCCTCTCTTTTCTTTCCCTTTTCCCCTCCTACTGTCTATAGGGCAAATTAGATTTCTGTACCTAATTGATTATGTTATTCCCTTCTTGAACCAAATCTGATGACAGTAAGGTTCAAACAGTGCTCATCTCCCTCCCTTGTTTCTCTCTGCTATAATTGTTTTTTGGGCCTTTTCCTGTAATATAATTTACCCTTGTCTGCCTCCTCCTTTCCTTTTCTCTCAGTACATTTTCTTAATTAGATCAGATTAATCCATTTACTTGGATCCATTTAACCCACTTGATTAGATTCTTTTTAACATTCTGTCAAAGTCAACTTATACCCACCCCCTTTATGTATACCCCTTTAACATGGTGTAATAACCATACAGTTCTCAAGAGTTACAAGTGTCATCTTCCCTTGTAGAGATGTAAACAGCTTTTAATGTCTCTCTTGAGTCTTGTATTTGAAGACAAAATTTTCTGTTGAGCTCTCATCATTTTATCAGGAAGGTTTGAAAGTCCCTTGTTTTGTTGAATATCCATCTCCTCCCCTGAAAAATCATATTCATTTTCACTAGATAGTTGATCCTTGGTTGTAATCCAAGCTTCTTTGCCTTATGGAATATCATATTCCACACCCTACTGTCTTTTATGTAGAAGTTGCAAAGTCCTGAGTAATCTTGACTGTGGTTCCATGATATTTAAATTGTTTCTTTCTGGCTGCTTGCAGTATTTTCTCTTCAACCTGGTAACTTCAGAATTTGGCTGATATTTTCCTTGGCATTTTCAATTTGGGATCTCTTACAGGTGGATTCTTTCTATGGTTATTTTACTCTACGGTTCTAGGATCTCAGGGCAGTTTTCCTTTATGATATCCTGAAAAATACTGTCCAGGCTCTGTTTTTCATTGTGATTTTCAGGTAGATCAATAATTTTTAAGTTG